GGCTCTTGGATCTGCCCTCTGAGCTCTTGACTTCACCCTCTCTGAGTCATTCTTTTCCATTAGAAATGCTTCATGATTACAACTAAGTAGCTTTTTCAACCTTCTTAACCATAGGAAGTTAGGTCCTCAGAGACGTCTTTTCATTTTGTCTGTCCCTTTTAATCCAAGCTGAAATAATTCATTTACCTTTGTAGGCTTACTATATATAAAAGTATACTGCAATCCATTAAAAGCATTTCACACTCATAAATCTTTCAAAAATAAGCCCCTTTCTACCTTTGGCTGAAAATAAGGGTGCTGTGAAAACAAATGCTATTATACTCTTAGAAACTATGTTTTTCTAGCAGAGGGAGTATAGGAAATAGTCCTCTAAGAGTCTTAAAATCCTACTGTCTATCTCGGAGGATTGATAAGACTGAAACTTAAATCTTATTGAGGTTTCCACAACAGGTGTTACAGCCAAAACCTTGATCTGATCTAGACCACCAAGGCCATGTTTTCCTAGCAGTGACATGGAATTAATCTGTGCCCCCAGGTTTTTATTTACTTTGAGAATATTTTGTAGGCTGGGGAGGCCAGAATGAGAACTGTTTTACTTTGTAACTCAGCAAAGCCTGGATTAGGAATGTTGCTTCTTGATCTTCTTGAAAACTGAACAGTCCCTTCTTTCATTCATCTCTTTTTTTATCTCTCTACTTTATCAGGCACAACTAAAAGCTATCACATGCCCTTTAAACATTCTGCCTGATAATCTCAGGAAAATCCACAAGTTCATTAGACATATATTTTATATTATTGCATTGCCACTTACAACAATTTCAAAATTAGAATCACCTTTTCTCCAGCCGCCAACACAATTTTCCTACAGTCATTTTAGTCTCTGTGAACAATCTCCTCAAAAAACCTTCCGAATTTCACTCATTGCCTGGTCCCAAAACCGGTGCCACAGGTTTAGGTTTGTATTACAGCAGTGCCCCACTTCTAGGTAAAAGTTACTGTTTTAGTAGTCCATTATTATTAAAAACTTAGTAGCTTAAGGAGGCGTCATGCTACTGGACTCCAAACTATACTACAAGGCTACGATAACCAAAACATCATGGTACTGGTACAAAAACAGACACATAGACCAATGGAACAGAACAGAGAACTCAGAAACAAGACCGCACATCTACAACCATCTGATCCTCGACAAACCTGACAAAAAACAAGCAATGGAGAAAGGATTCCCTATTTAATAAATGATGCTGGAAGAACTGGCTAGCTATATGCAGAAAATTGGAACTGGACTCCTTCCTTGCAACTTATACAAAAATTAACTCAAGACAGATTAAAGACTTAAACGTAAAACCCAAAACTATAAAAACCCCAGAAGAAAATCTAGGCAATACCATTCAGAACATAGACAAGGGAAAAGATTTTATGACAAAATTGCCAAAAGCAATTGCAACAAAGCTAAAATAGACAAATGAGATCTAATTAAACTAAAGAGCTTCTGCACAGCAAAAGAAACTATCATCAGAGCAAACAGGCAACCTACAGAGTAGGAGAAAATTCTTGCAATCTATCTATCTGAAAAAGGTCTAATATCCAGAATCTACAGATAACTTAAACAAATTTACAAAACAAACAAACCAACAAACAGCCCCATTAAAAAGTGGGCAAAGGACATGAATGACACTTCTCAAAAGAAGACATTCGTGCAGCCAAGAAACATATTAAAAAAAACTTAACATCACTGATCATTAGAGAAATGCAAATCAAAACCACAATGAGATACCATCTCACATCAGTCAGAATGTCGATTATTACAAAGTCAAGAAACAATTGATGCTGGTAAGGTTACACTGTTGGTGGGGATGTAAATTAATTCAACCATTGTGGAAGACAGTATGGCGATTCCTCAAAGATCTAGAACCAGAAATACTACTTAACCCAGCAATCCCATTACTGGATATATACCCAAAGGAATATAAATCATTCTACTACAAAGATGCATGCACACATATGTTTATTGCAGCACTATTCACAATAGCAAAGACATGGAATCAACCCAAATGTCCATCAATGATAGATTAGATAAAGAAAATGTAGTATATATATAACATGGAATACTATGCAGCCATAAAAAGAATGAGATCATGTCCTTTGCAGGGACATGGATGGAGCTGGAAGCCATTATCCTCAGCAAACTAACACAGCAACAGAAAACCAAACACAGCATGTTCTCACTTATAAGTGGGAGCTAAACTATGAGAATGCATGGACATAGGGAGGACAACAATACACACTGGGGCCTGTCGGAAGGGAGAGGGAGGGAGAGCATCAGGATAAATAGGTAATGCATGCTGGGCTCAATACCTAGGTGATGCGTTGACAGGTGCAACAAACCACCATGGCACACATTTACCTGTGTAACAAACCTGCACATCCTGCACATGAACTCTGGAACTTATATATAAAAATTAAACTTAGTAGCTTAAAACAACAACCACGTTTATTGTTTCTCACAACTCTGTGGGTCAGGAATTGGATAGAGTGCAGCAGAGATGGCTCATCTCTTCTCAAGTCTTCTGCTGAGACTACATCATCCAAAATGGCTTCTTCACTTACATGTCTGATGGTGCTTCAGGTGAGATGGCTCAAAGGGCTAGGTAGTGGCTGGAATGACTTGCCTGCGGTCCTGTGTCTGGATCCTCAGTTCTCATTGGTGGCTGGAACTTCAGTCCTAAGTTCCCTCCCTCTCCACATGGCCTCTCCACATGGTCGCTGTAGCACAGCAAATAGATTTCTTCTGTAGCAGCTCAGTGCTCCCAAGAGCAAAAAGCAGACTTCCAGGGCTTCTTAAGGTTTAGGCCAGAACTGGCACAACTCACTTCTTCCACCTTCTACTGGTTAAAGCAAATCAGAGGAACAGCCCAGCTTCAAGGGGAGATGGTTACACAATGGTATCAATACCAGGAGAGCTGATCCACTGGGGGACATTGATATAGCGGACTGCAATAGAGTCTACTGGAACTGGTAAGGAAGATGGATTCTATTTGCTATTCTTGACCTTTTGCTACACCTATTTGCTCAATTCTGAAGCATATACAGCTTGCAAACAGATGTGCCACATCATACAGTAACATTGCCACATGTTGGCTCTGAGGCATCAAGCACTCATGCGTGTCCTCTTCATCCCCTTCCTTTACCACTAACCCCCACATTGCCCTTGACAGACTTATGTAAACTATTTGTGTTTGGTTTGGTTCCTTCATTCATGTTGTCCATAGAGCATTTGGAGAAAACTGCTTCAGATTGTCTCAGCCAAACATTTGCTATTTATAGCTATTCCCATTTCTGGAAGGCCAACTGCTTGCACCAAAAATGCACAACATAGACACCAGATAACCCCTACCCATAGACGAGAGCACTTGTATCTCATCTGCTCTGGGGTAAACGGCAACTGAAAGCTCAATTCCAGTATAAGATGTAAGGAACACAGAAAACTTATCTACCAGAAGTAGTATTGCACAGAATTAATTGAGGGGCTGCAGGAGTCTGTGAGCCTTCAAAATAAAATCACAAGCCAAATTTTAGATGTTTGTGCATTTTGCAGGGGAAAGATTCATTAGCTTTCATCAGATTATTAAAGGGATTCTATGGACCCAGAAAAAAACTAAAAACGCTGTTCTCACATAGAATTATGTGATATAGTTTTCCCATTACTCAAAAGTCAACTTGCAACTTTTATTGTTTTAAGTCACATCTTCCTTCCTCAGTATGAAGAAGTGTAGGCTTGATCGATCATAAATATCAAAGGAAATAGAAATGAAGCTCTATTATTCTCCACTGAAGGATCCTTTTCGGCTCCTCTTGTTTCTATCCTCCATGTGCCCTTATTTTATTTTTCTTTCCATATCCTCCCATTCCAGCTCACCTCTTGTGTATTGTATTTTTTTAATGTTCCAGCCATATCCCTAGACATGACTTTACCTATTTCTTACATTGAATGACCTGTAATAGATTAGACTTTATAGCTGGAAGAAAGTAGATTACCCAACACCATGGAGTGACTTAATCTGAGATGAGAACTAGTAGATGATAATAAAACACTATGCCTATTTCCAACTGCCCTTTGTCTCATTTGGAGATATACTTTTCCTTTAACAACCACAGAAGTAGAGTTGACATATGTTGTAGTATATTATTTTGATTAAATTCCAGTGAATTCCAGCAACATCATGTGTGGAACTGTAAAAAAAATTCCCTATAATTTTCAATTTTCTATTTCTTGTGTATATCCCATGAGACAGAGAGAGGAGAAAGAATTGATTGTTCTACTGTCGTGGAAAAGTGAAATTTCTTTATATAGATACATCCATTGACAGGTATCATCTGTTCTTGCCAATTTAATTCATTAAGCATCAAATGAACCAGGCACCCATTTAGGTTCAGTGGTGGATATAAAAGGAGTAAAACTGATTGTCTGCCCTCAAGTTGCTTATGGTTTAATGGGAGAGAATAATAAAAACAGATACAAAGAGAAGGAAGCAGTGGAGAATTAGATCAGAGGTCTAACGTTCTCAGAGAGAAAAGAGAAACAAAGAATTAATTCTTATCTTCCACATTTGCCTTCACTTCCTTCTAGCACTCTCTGCTCTTGACATCTCTCCCTTGTTGCTTTTCCTTCCTTCCTTCCTTCCTTCCTTCCTTCTTTCCTTCCTTCTTTCTTTCTTTCTTTCTTTTTTTCTTTCTCCTTTTTTTCTTTTTTTTTTTTTTGGAATCTTGCTCTGTTGCCCAGGCTGGAGTGCAGTGGCGTGATCTTGGCGCACTGCAACCTCCACCTTCTGGGTTCAAGTGATTCTCCTGCCTCAGCCTCCTGAGTAGCTGAGACTACAGGTGTGCACCACCACACCTGGCTAATCTTTGTATTTTCAGTACTGATGGGGTTTCACCGTGTTGGCCAGGCTGGTCTCGAACTCCTGGCCTCAGGTGATCTGCCCCCCTCAGCCTCCCAAGGTGCTGGGATTACAGGCGTGAGCCACTGTGCCTGGACCCCTTGTTGCTTTTCTTAAATAAAGAAACAAAAACAACAAAAAATGAAAGTAGAACTTTGCAGTCCAGCTTTTTGTCCTTCCCTCTTTCCTTCAAAGCATTTGTCTTCCTTTTTCTGCTCCTTAGCCAGGCAATGGACTCTGGCATGTTGGCTTCCCTGGCTCTGGTTTCTTCCACTCCAGCTCATTTTCCTTCTCTGCCACACCATCTCATAGGCACCTTTCACCCAACGAATATGGGTGGAGCAGCTCACATGTCCAAGCTCTGTGCTGGGCCCTGGAGACACAAAGGCAAATCCAATCTTTGTGTAGAGAAAACTTGTACACAAAACTCTCCATCTCCTAGGGATCTATCTTTCCTCCATATTATGTTCCTTTTTTATTTCTTCCACTCTCTCTCCTCAGAATATTTTTATTTCCATCTTGACTGCTGTTAGAGGTCTCCTATGAGAAGGAAATTATCTATAATGGAACAGGAACATTAAAAGCCTCAGTTTCCTTGGTAATTATTGAACTCATAAGGGGTTCACATCGGGTTTTGAATTTTAAGAACTAAGTTAGAAGAAACTTTGTTTTTCTAACCAGATTATTTTAACACTTCCCCTTTCTAGTTCTTCTTCAGATATTGGTTTTTAAACTTCAGACTGAGAATTTTCTGTAAGCTCCAGTCAATGCCAGATTATGAAGAAATGCCTTTCCAAATTCCTAAACCTGAACTAAACATGTCAAAGGTAGGAAGCCTGGAAGCAGCTGGTACCTGCATCTCTGAATGAGCAAGTTTGAATGCATTTAGGCAACAGGGTATTGCCGAAATGACTCAGCTAGTCTGAGTGATCTGCTGGTGTGCCACTCAAGTTGAGGGGAATGTTAGTAATAATTATCAATTTTTGATCTTTTGTTTATTCATTAATTCACAAAAATATAAACACCTATGATACAGTACGCAGTAAACCGAGAGTTGGGATTACACCAAGACAGACATAGTTTCTGCTCTGATGGAGTTTTCAGTCTGGCTGGGATTGTGAACATGTACAGTAATTCTAATACAGTGTCCTGCATGTTATGACAACACCCACTATGTGCCAGGCATGTGTTAGCTATGCCATATTCTTATCTCATTTAACGTATGCAGCATCCATATCAGGTAAGCACTATTAATCTCTCCACTTTACCTATGAGAAAACTCAGACTCAAAGATGTTAAGTAAGTTGCCCCAAACTACAGATTCTGAACTCAGGTCCGTTCGACTCCATCGCTAGAGTTCTTCCCCACCACACTACAGCGTTTCTCACAAAACTGAAATGTGGTGCCATGCTTGACATCGTAAACTGACTGTTAGGACTGAGAAACAGCAACACGAAGCAGCGGTGGCAGTGTCTCAAGCTACTCATCTGCAGGAAACTCACTTATGAGAATTAGGAATAAAATAACAACATGCATTAAAAAGGTCATTCTCTATGACCCAAACTATTTTCTAATTCCAGGGGTACAAAAATCTCTGCAAAATGATAGAAGAATTTTTTTAATCTCATTCATTTCCACAAAGATCATATTCCTATTTCAAGTGTTTTGTCTTGAAAGGCTAGAAAGGAGAAAAAGTAAAGACTAGCTCCCCTTCTTAAAAAAAAAAAAAATATATATATATATATATACACACACACACACAGAGAGAGAGAGAGAGAGAGAGAGAGAGAGAGAGAAGAAGCGATGATACATAAAAGCACAGTTAAAAGGTCTGTCTCCAACCGAGGTCAGCAGGCTGCCCAGATTCAGACAATTCCAAATGCATCCCAAAGTTTGTAAATGCCCCATACCTCACTCTCTGGGGCCTGATAGGATATATTCCTAACAGCTCTTATTACCATTTAGCAGGTCAGAGGAAAGACGTTATTCTTCGGCTTTACCTGGAAAGATTTTCTTTTATCAGCAGAAAAGGATAAAAACTTAATTCTTGCAAAGGAAGAGGTTTCAATAAAGTGAATCTAAAAAATAATCCACTCTGGCAAACGTGCCTCATTAAAGAATTTTCTGCTACATATTGATTTGCAGTTTGTACATGATATCTTAAGATAACTAGTGCACGTCTGTAAATTGGAATGTTCAGATTTTCATTCCAGCTTTGGAATAACCAACATGGTGACTTTTTGCAAGTCATTTTACCTCCCTGGGCCTTGACTTCCTTTTCTAAAAAATGATAGTATTTGGACTTTATAGCTCTCCTTCCAGCTCTAATAATCTGTGACTGTATTCCATTGACCCTAACAGGATAGTTACTTATCTGGATCAGCATCCCATGGGAAACCAGACTCCCCAAGCATTTATTGCAAGCCCTATTTATGTCTCTAAGGAGGTGGGCCACCCAGCCCTAATGGCCTTTCCTATGCCAGGAGAAGTTTGAAATAGGGAAAAACTAAAGAGAAAATTAGAGTTAAAAATGGTTTGTATAACTTCCTGATCTGGGAAAACAATGAGGTTCAACCAACCGAATCTAAAGGGAAGGAAACTGATATGGTTTGGCTCTATGTCCCCACCCAAATCTCATCTTGAACTGTAATCCCCACAAGTCGAGGGAGTGACGTGGTGTGAGGTGATTGGGTCATGGAGGTGGTTTTCCCCATGCTGTTGTGGTGATAATGAGTGAGTTCTCATGAGATCTGATGGTTTTAAAGTGTTTGGCAGTTCCCTGCCTCATTCTCTCTCTCTCTCCTGCTGCCGTGTAAGATATGCCTTGCTTGCCCTTCACCTTCTGCTATGACTGTAAGTTTTCTGAGGCCTCCCCAGCCATGTGGAACTGTAAGTCAATTAAATCTTTTTTGCTTATAAATTACCCAGTCTCAGGTAGTTCTGTATAGCACTGTGAAAACGGACTAATACAGAAACTGAATATAATGATCTTTGTAATGGGGATAGTATTCTTAAAATATTAATTATTTGTGTATTTATTACCTTTTATTCTAAATTATGTCTCACAGCAGCCACTCCACATCTTGAGCCCAAAGAAAGTGGAGTGAGTAAATGCCACTTTGGCCATCGGGAGTAAGTTATGATGTGTGTGTGACTGGGGACAGCAGGAGAGGGCCTCCCACCAGACTGAAGGAGGAAAATGCAGATGTGCTCTTCTACCCCCCAGCAGGTTGTCAGAAGTGTGAAAGGGCTGGAGGAGGGGAAATAATAGATACGCATGCCTCCAACTCTCTCTCAGCCAAAGTTCATTGCTGCATAACAAGTTAGCAGCTTGTTATTTAAACCACAAATTTAGCAGCTTAAAATAATGGACATTTATTATCTTACAGTTTCCGTGGATCAGGATTAGCTGGATCCTCCACTTAGGGTCACACAAGACTACAACCAAGATGGCAGCTGGGCTGCATTCTAATCTGGAGGCATGACTGGAGAAGAATCCATCTCCAAGCTCACTCAGGTTATTGGTAGTTTTCATTTCCTTGTGGTTGTAAAACTTGGGATCCTAGCTTCCTACTGGCCGCTGGCTACCTTCAGGTCCTAGAGGCCACCCATAGTTCCTAGGGGCCACCTACAGTTCCTCACCACATTGGCTTTCCCTACATGGCCACTCCATCAAGTCAGCAAGCAAAGTCTCTTGCAAGTCAACTAGCAAGATGAAATTTTTTATATAAGGTAACATAATCACCAGAGTGATGCCGTATCCATTTTTTACATTTTATTGATTAGAAGCAATCACAGGTCCCACCCCCACAACTCAAGAGGAGGGGATTATACAAGGGTATGTGCACCAGGATGTGAGGATCATAAGGAATCACCTTAGAGCCTGTCTGCCACAAAACCAAAAGCAAAGAGGCCCTTGTCCTTCTCTGAGTCTCTGAGAAGAGATTTCCTTGCAGGATACTGTCCCCACCCCCACACGCAACAAGTGGTGGCCATATCAGAGAAAAGTCATGACTAGGCTGAAAGCAGACCTCAGTTGGTTTGCTGGAGTCTCCCTCCTTGTATGGAAAATACCCAGAAATTCCTGGATGCTCTTTAGAAGGAACGAGAAAGTAACTGACTTGCTGAACGGTCAGCTCACCAGAGTGGTCACCATGGGGGAGCAAAATGACCCTGTGGCCAAGGGCAGCCAAGGCCAGAAAGCAAGTGGTAGTCACATCTAGGCCTCAGAAGGATACACAGCACCAGCTGGCTCAAAAGAGAAGCCCACCAAGCCCTTCCCAAGCTGAGGAAAGAAGAGCTCTCAAGTTTCCAGCAGCAGCTGCCACATGGGCAAGCACTAACAGTACAGCAGGACCAGTGAGGACTCTGAGAGCAACCAGAGGCCTGCACAAACACCTCTGGGGCCACCTCTGGGGCTACAGAGTAAACTCACCCATTGACTCTCTTGAGGGTGAGGATTCTGAAAGCCTGAGCAGTTACCTGAAAGGAACTATTTTAAACCAAAAGGAGACTGACATATTGTTAATTGGCTCATTTAAAGTTCACATTTGTTTCCCTGCTACCCCAGGGCTGGAGGATCTTGAAGAAAATTCAATCAGTTATAGAGAAATAAAGGAAGTACATTTTCTTTGCACAATTGGATTGTGTGAGTGAATTTGTAATCTTGCTACACCTGCTATGTAACAGACATTATACACATATGTTTCCATAGAGTTCTCCCACCATCCTATGAGGTAAGTGTTATTATATTCCCATTTTACAAATGATGTTGAAACTCTGAGAGGTTAAGTAATTTGTGCAAGGTCACCCAGCTGGTAAGTGGAAAAGTTTTTATAGAATCCAGAATTGTCTAATTCTAATACTTAGGCTCTTATTCACTGTGCCTCTGTATTAGTTAGGTAAGCTAAATTCTGTAATTAGCATTCCTCAAATCTCAACAGCTTAACACACACACAAAAAAATGGTTATTGCTTATTTTACAGCCAAGTGCAGGTCTTACTCTACAAACTTGTTGCTCATTTAGAGATCTACACTCTTTCTCTCCTCTGGGCCCACTATCCTCCAAATCTACAGAGTCCTCTCCATTCAACCAGTGAATACAAGAGGAGAGACCATGGAGGGTTGCATAGGGTGACTTTATGGGCCAGACCTGGAAATGGTACACATTGCTTCTGGCAACATCTATTGGCCAGAACTCAATGACACGATGCCATCTAGCCGTAAAAAAGACTTGGAGGTGTAGTCTAGGTTAGTGCCCAAAAGACAAAGGGATAGGACTTGGCAGACACATAGTATTCTTTGCCACCATTCCATACTCATAACCTAAAAGACATACATCTATGTCATCTTTTCCACCTTTCTTACTCCAGAGGAATCAGATTTTCCTTCCACTAAATATGAAGATCAAAATTGAAAACACTGGTCTGATAATCCAGGGGTAAAGATAACAGATACACCCAGAAAACTTTTTAGATTTGGCTTCATGGTACGCTACATCTTGCTATGAGTTGTCTATCATTCATTTTAGTTTCATACCTGGGTGTCAGCAGCTAAAGTCCATGGCTAGCATGTGCCCTGGGCTGTCTATAGGAAGAAAGTAAGCCATGACTGACTCTAGTGGCTTAGGTGAAATCATAGTGTGACCTGCCTTCGTGATGTGTCTATGGCTTGGATGTTGGAGTTCCTGTGGGAAGAGAAATCCAATACATGATTGTTTTGCTATAATCTTAGAGAGGACCTAATTGCCTGGGCTTAAGCCATTCAGAAAACTGAGAATAATAATAATCATCATTATCATCTCATAACTTAGAAGATACCATGTCATACTGAGATTTGTTTCCCCAGGGCTGGCAGGCACTAAACAAGTGTTTATTGATTTGATCTGACCAATATGTTTCTTTTAATGTAATTCTAGGAAAACAGACTTAGAAAATATATTTTTGGCTGGAATAAGGACAAAACGTTGTTGTTGTTGTTGTTGTTGTTATTTTTAGCCATAGATGTCTTGGAATAATGTTATCTTGATAAATGCAACTACCCACTAGTTGATGGATAATAGTTGATAATAAACAACTATCCACTTAGTGATGGTTGGTATGTGTTCCTGACTTAGGATGAGGTTAACTGATATTACAGCTGTGCTTTCTGGTGTCCTTCAGGGTTTGATGGAGGAACTGCAGAAACCATGGTTCATGGGAGGTAGAGCAGGGGCACAGGAGGGCACAGGTCCCCTATTGTGAATTCAACCAGAGTAGCTTTGTCTCGATCTCTTGTACCATGTAAAATTTGAAGAAAGGATGATAAAGACATTGGTAAGCCACTGGAGTAAACCAATGGATTTCTTTGGGTATCATATGTGATGTAGTTAATCCTACATCATTCTCTCTGTGCCTAAGAAAGGAACAACTGGTGAGGTGATAGTGGGCAACTCAGAGTCTATCTTCCTCAAAGGCAATTTGGAGAGTGGAAAAAGCATGAGCTTTGGAGGCAGACAAGCCTGAGGTCAAAGCATGGATCTTATTAGGTCTGTACAGCAATACACTGCCCTTGCAGGATACCTGTGAACAATAGGAAAGGCCACAGGCTTAAAAGAAGGGCAATATATTGTAGTGATTAAGAGTATGGGCTTGGGAGTTGGACTGCCTGATTCAAGACTGCCATTTACTAGCTTGGTAACCTTGGGCAAGTTAATTAATTTCACTAATCTTCAGTCTCCACATCTGTAAATGGGTTTATCAATAGTATTCGTGTCATAAGCTTGTTATAAGACTTAAATGAATCTATGTCTGCAAAGCACTTAGCACTGCTAGACACATAGTAAGTGTACAGTGATGACAATTGTTACAAATAATTATTAGTTCTAAGCACAGACCCAGACACACAGAAGACATTTAATAAATTATAGTTATAATAACTTTCACCCAAGATCTCCTCTCAGAAAAAGAAAATACTAAAGTGAAGAAGGAACAGAGAGGAGCCATGCGTTAGTAATACAGAATGAAAGAGTGAGTTTCTTAAAGTATTGAATATGAGTAGAAAAACTGCATGAGTGGCGAAGAAAAAGATTAGGGGATGTTTATGGGCTTGGGAACCATGGTAGTGACCAGATACACAGACATGGGGTCAATTTCATGCTCTGAGATAAGGCATTACTGTGAAAGAGGAAAAGCCTGGCATGACTCAGCAGGCCTCATTCCAAAAGCAAGGCACTATCTTCAGACAGGCTCCAATAAAATGCACATGGAACACAGAAGCCAGCTAACACAGATCATTTTCTCAATTTTCCAAACCCATACCTTATGTCCTGTGGGGTGGCCATCCTGCTCAGGGCCAGATTCAGGCAGGCAGTGGGACAAAGAAAGCCAAGAGAGATGTTTAGAACAAAGAATGGGGGTAACTCTCCAACTCCCACATATCATTAGCGGCAAGTGTGTGGTGCCCAGTTTTGCAAGGCTTTGCATTAAATAACAGACAAAGGGAATTGTCTATATGTAGCTCCTGCCCTTATGCACCTCAGGATCCAATATCCATCAGAGACTCCTTTTCCTAGGCGGCCCACCAGGCAATAAGATCAGATGGCAACTTTGCAAACTCATGTTTTATCTTCTTAATATAAAAGCTGATTCCCTCAAATTATCCATTAGAGGCAAAAGAAGAAGAAAATTATCACCCAACAGTAACTCTTAAAATCCAAACTGATTAATTTCTCAAATGAATAATTTAGATCTGAGACATGAAATCATTTGGAAAAGAGCTTCTCCTTTAAGTGATTTCATTCTACACCTTTCAACACCAATGGATGCCACTATTTCACAAAACTTAATGCTCGTCTCATTTGCAAAATGACTTCCAATGTAACCAATCAAAGGGAGAAATCAGCGCCTAACAGCAGGGCAGGATTCCCTTCCAGTTCTGAAGAGGAAAAGGCAGGACAAGGGTGAGCTGTAGCCAGGTCAATCCCTTCAACCTAAGCAAATAGCTCCTTCTGGGTGAATGGCCAGGAATTGAGATATTAATCTGGAAATGTTATCTGGATACTAGATGGATGACCGATCCCCAAAATACTTGAATACAATAGAATAAATCTCCGAACAAAGACACGGTGTTATGTTTAATCTGTCTTTAATGATCAAGGCCATCATATTACACATAAATTGTCATTATATGGTAGTTGTGTGGAAATGCATGTCAAAAACAGGCATGTTAGATATATGTATAGCACAGAGGTTCAAATCTTACTCCATAAGTTTAAATCCTGGTTCCACCATTTACCAACTGTGTGACCTTGACTCATCTTTGTGACTCAGTTTACTAATCTATAAAATGGGTATAATATTGCTCATCTCACAGAGTTTGACAAAGACTCTCTCCTTTGACTGAAACTTTAGTCAGGCTCCTCTTAGTCCTCAGCTTGACTGGGCCTGAACTGGGGCTTCCCTCTCTGTAGAATTCATTTTGAACAAGAATCCTACTAACAAAAATCCTTGGCCAGGCCCAGTGGCTCATTCCTGTAATCCCAGCACTTTGGGAAGCTGAGGTGGGCAGATCACCTGAGGTCAGGAGTTTGAGACCAGCCCAGCCAACATGGTGAACTGTCCCTACTAAAATTATGAAAATTAGCCAGGCATGGTGGCGGGCGCCTGTAATCCTATTACTCGGGAAACTGAGTCAGGAGAAGCGCTTGAACCCGGGAGGCAGAGGTTGCAGTGAGCCCAGATCGAGCCATTGCACTCCAGCCTGGGTAACAAGAGCAAAACCCTGTCAAAAAAAAAAAAAAAAAAAAAAATCGTCTGCCCCATCACCCTGGTCTGCCTTCAACAATGATCCCATCAAGTTGGTTTCGCCAGAAATCCCCTTATTCTCAATGTTCACTCTTAGTAATTTTCTATCCACTGACCCCCACCCTACTCCATGCTTATAAACCACTTGTCCTTGTCTGGGAAAGAGTTAGGTCTACTCTCTCCCCTCTTCTGCAATCCCCTGTTGCAGTGATCCCAATACCTATGGCCATGATCCCCGTGAATAATGTCTGCCTCACCATCTTTAACATGTGCCAGAATAATTTGCATTTCACAGGTTGAAGTGAGGATTAAATGATTAACATAATCCAGGTATAGAACTTAATACCATATCCAACACACAGTCAGCTTCCTGTCAGTTATTACTATTCCCGCCAGACAAGGCATTACAGACTGTGGAGAAGCCCCATCATCTCTCTCACACCTCACACCTTTATGGTTCTCTCTGGACCCTTGAGATATAAAAGATATTCTTTTGTTTTTGTTTTTGTTTTCGAGGCAGTCTTGTTCTGTCACCCAGGCTGGAGTGCAGTGGCGAATCTCAGCTCACTGCAACTTCTGTCTCCCAGGCTCAAGCGATTCTTCTGCCTTAGCCTCCCGAGTAGCTGGGATTACAGGTGCACACCACCAAGCCCGGCTAATTTTTTTTTTTGCATTTTTAGTAAAGACAGGGTTTCACCATGTTGGCCAGGCTGGTCTCAAACTCCTGACTTCAACTGATCTGCCTGCCTCAGCCTCCTAAAGTGAAGAAAACTTTTTATTTGAGCTGCTGTGAGTTACTTCTCTAAGACTCAGAATCTAGAATCCAGCTGACTTGGTCTCAAGTTCCAGTTATGCCCATTATGAGCTGTGTGGCCTTGGGCAAGATGCACAACCTTATTAAGTCTCAGTTTTCTCATCTGTAAAGTAGGGATAATAGTAATAACTATTCAGAAAGAACTTGTGAGGATTAAATGAACTTACATACTTCAGACACTCAGCATAGTCAACACCATTATTAATATTAATACCATTAGAGTAACAAAGCTCTCCGGCTTCAGGATCCTTTTCTCTAAAATAAAAAGAGTTAAATTATCTCTAAGATCTCTTTCAGGACTAACATTTTAAAAATTTCTAAATCTATTGCCACTTTACAGATGCAAAAACTGAGTCACATTTCACAAATAACAAACACCATGGTTTCCCAGACCATTACCCCTCATAAGTAGACCCTAAATACTTTATTCTATTTTAATTTACAGGCCTACCAAAAGCCCGGGCCTTTTGAATATTCAGCTGGAATGTTAATTATGGGAAATTCCAGAATCCGTGGCTTAGAGACAAGTTCTCATTTACTCTGTTCCCTGGCACTGGGATCCCTCCTGCCTTGCCTTCAGAACACCAACTTACTTTCCAAAGCCCACGCAACCAAAGCCAGATGGCAGTGCCACTCGGTGCCTGCTGCCCCAGGCCTCCATCCCTGCCAGCCCTCAGAGCTCCATCCACTGGCCTGGGTCTCCAGTTCCTACCCCTCCTCTACTTGCCCAGGTCTCAAAGGTGGCCCTAAAGAAAGCCTTCCTTTATACCACTTCCAGAAACACATTCTAAACCTTATTCTGGGCCTGAGTCACTACAAACCAGGAAGAACCACAGGTTCATTTGTTCCTTATCAGATTTAAACACCATCCACTTATTGGAAAGAAATCATTTCTTTAGTTACGGAAGTTTTGCTCTTCCTTTGCTTGTTTTACTGGTGGTGGTGGCATTTTGCACACCGTAAAGGGCCATTTCACCAGCTGACGCAATGATAAGCTTGTTGGACTCCTCGTCCCATAACAGAGGAGCACAGGAAGGTTCCAGGAGATCGCAAAGCCTGGGGTTCCTGGTGGGAGCTTTGCACTGGCTGACCTGGGTCCCCATTTTGCCTGCTCTGCTGTCTGACTTCATGACAGGTTAGCCTGATGCACAGAAAGGCCAGGCGTATTCCCTGGTGGGTGGCTCTAAACATCTGCTCTGTGGTAAGAGGTTTTAGGAGGACTGAGGTGCTGGGTATCCATAGAAGACTGAGGGTGTTTGGTGAAAAGAATCTAAAATCCTCAGCGTAGTCAGAAGATAAGGGGGGAAAAAATCTCAGTTATTTCAATTCCCTGACTCACCATATTCTTCCAGGCAATGATCTTCATGTCCCAAGGCTAATCTTGAGGGGTGGGATTATCTTCAAGGGCAGAGACACTAATTAGCCATGGTGGGTGGATGGATGGCGTGACAGGCATCAGGCAGATCATCCTCAGTTCCTCCAAGTGAAGGGAGGCTGAGGAGACAGATGGAGGCGTGTCTCTTGCCCCTGAATGAACTGAGTGATTTATGTCTTAAGAAACCCCATGGCCTTGTAGTGTCTTGAACAGTGCGTGACTCTTAGCTTTTGACTTTCACAAATGCTTTCAGTTTACCCTCATTTTACAGAAAAAGAAGAGAAAGTAGACTTTCGGGGATCAAGGAATTTTCTTTAGGTTATGTGGCCAGTTAAGCATAAGAAAGGACAGCACTGCTGGCTCCTGACCCCTACCCATCTTCTCCCCATGAGGTCACTTTGCATGCTTTGTGCAGGGTCAGGGCTCCGGGCATTGGCCTGAGATGCTCAGATGGACCTGGCTTCCCTCCCTTCCCACAGGGAACCAGCCTGTGAGGACTGCTAGGACAGTCTTCATCTGTGTCTGCTAGGACACCAGCCAGAGTCTTGGAAACCTTCATTTTTCTCTTCCAAGTACTCAACTCCCAGAGAGTCAAGCAATCTGCCTACTGTAGCAGAAAGCCATGTCCATTTTTATCTGGAGCTATTTAATACGTATTAGCAACATGCCAAGCACTGTTCCATGATCCCCAAAAGCCTTCCTCCCCACTTGGAATTGATTTATGCTAAAACAATTACACACCCTGGAGCTTCATGCCTGAAGTCGTCTAGAGGGGACCCCCATGGGACCCCATGATAGTAAAAGTGTTACAGCAGCATCCCCTTGGCATTTCTAAGGCAAGGTACCCCAGATGTACTCTAGAGCAGACCAGCTTTATGTCCGGTTTGCATGACCTGCCTCTGCTTTGGCCGAGGTTTCAGTGCACTGTGATAAAAGGTGCTACTGGAACACTAGAAGCTCTCTAAACTCAGGATTAACCAGCTCTCTGGAGGACACACAGCTGAGGCCCTTGGCACATGCAACTGTCTAAGAGAAGAGGTCTCTCTACTTGGCCTGTGTGTTTGTGCTCTGACGGTCTCAATTATGCTCTGATCAAGAGGTAGTTGTGATGGTTCTCAGATTCCTTATTCCAAATTTCCTTGTTATCATAATTACATAATTTTGATCAATATTATGTAACCTGATGAAATATGAGTTCAGGGGGAAAAAAAGAGTGTTTGCATGAAAACTAAGTGGAATGATTTGAAAAGAATTTGTAAAGGCTATTGCTAAAAAAAAAAAAAATTGCCTAATGGTGTGTGTGAGAAAGACAACTGCACAGGATTGGGGCAAAACAATAAAAGCCCAAAATGGTTCTGCGTTCAGATTGCTTCATAGGTTTACTTATGTTTGCCTCCTGCATTAGAAGAACCTAAGCCAGAAATCGTAAAATCATAGCTATTGAGTTACAGGTGTGGTTTATTCAAAATGAGGTGTGGGAGCTTCCTTCAGTGGTGCTTACACAAAGGAAAAGTCTTAGCCCTATGTAATAATAAAAATAATAGAGATGGTGAATTAACGTTCATTTATTTAAGATAAATTAAAAACATTTAAGGTGGAAATCCATACTTTTCCATGGTTCACCTCTTCAACTAATTTTTTTCCACATAACCAATCCTAGACTGAAGCGGGTACTTCTACTGTAGTAAGAGGTAAATATACCAATGTACCCAGACAGTGAGTTAGACAGAAGAATGTGCTGCCACCAACATGAAGGCTTTTGCTCCTTGATTGTTCATTGGGTCTTGTTCTTTCATTTGTTCATTTATTGAGTTCATCAATATCCTTGAGCCTCCTGAGAAAGGCTTTGTGCCAAGGACTAGCAGTGTGGCAGGAGCAAGTTGATGGCAGCACCACAGTGCTCACTTTCCTGGTGCTCCCATTCTCCCATCCACCTACCAGCCAGCCAGATGCCACTCCTATCCGACTTCCCTGCCCCCATGCTGTAACAACCCCATGATTTTGCTTCTACTGTGTCCTTTGTCTGGAATCCTCTACCCACTCCCAGCCTGACCAAAGCCTTCCATCCCATACGCCACCTCCTCCTTGGAGTCTGCCATGATCTCTCCAGGCAGAAATGATCTCTTCCCACCGTATTCTCCCATGGAACTTTGTTTGTTTCTCTTTTATAAAATTTGTCATGTACTAACATTTATTACAAGTTTCTTGCCTTAGATGTAACCCCTTTCCTAAATTGGAAGGCCACCTAGGTCAATGACCAAGACTTGTTCATTCTGGCATCTCCACGCTGCCTGGTCCAGGGTCTTGTTCATAAATTCCAAATGTTGCTTTGAGTATTAAAATACTATATATAAAGATTAACGAACATAGGATATACCAAAAAAACACTTGTTGATAGATTATGTGTCGTTTTATCTCTAAAAAACATTTTTGATTGACTATGCAAACTTCAAACTTCCTTTACTCACCAGCTAGTTTGCAAGTAATACAATGTGATCTGCTAAAAGGAGGATTCTTTTGGAAGTTTTATTTGTCTGGGAACCTTGCATTCTATGGAGATTTTCTTTCCTGCTGGAAAACATCTGGACGTAAAATGAAAGAAATTAAGTTTTTCCTCATATTTCTAGAAATATTATTCTGCCAGGAATTTTGTTTATTCTCACATGCCCAGAATGGAGAGCAAAGGGACGATGAAGAACATGATACCTCTTTGGAAATTTCAGAATGCTAAAAGTTTCATTCTCCCAACTTGCATTTTAAGAGTTGTGAATCTGCCTCATCATAACGTAAGCAACTGTAAATGAGGATGACTTACGCAGTTACCCAAGATGGCCATGATTCCACTTTCCCGGAACCCAGAATTGCATGTTTCTGAAAAATAATCATTTCCAAAGAAAATAGATACTACTCAATAATGCTCTTTATGTTGCTAATGAGACTTGGTTGGTCACCATACTGATCCAGGCTATGTCTGCACAGCTTTGGCTAATGTCTATTACTGGGTACACAACTGAAGTAGATTATGCCTGGGAGGAAGTAAATTCATCCACCTTTTAAAGGACTTGGAGGGAAGCAGGATCCCACAGTGGAAAGATGGTGGGACAGGAGGTCAGCCATCCCAGGCTAGCATCCGGTTCTGCTCCTCATAAGCTGTGTGGCTTAAACTGGCAGAGCCTTATTCTCCTCCCCTGCTAACTGGGGAAAAGAATATGTGATGAAAAGTAAGTGAGATATTGAAAGTAAAATGTCTGCGTCTAGATAACTATGGATGAAATAGTGAATTCCTTACTTTGATTCGCTCTTGTTGCTTATAAAGCATTTGCGCACTCAGCTCATTTGAGTCTCTTAAACTCCCTGTGAGAGAAGTAAAATAAGTACAGGTTGAACTTTCTGAAAAGGCTAATGTTTGACTACTTAGACCTACTAGAATAGACTATGGATCCACCTGACATTATCCCCATTTTGTAGAAAAGGAAACTGCGGAACCCAGTAATTCTGACTCTCAGGCCAGTATGTCTATCACCAAAAGGTTGTTCAAAATGAAAAAGACGAACATACCCAAAAAAACATAAGCACAGTCTTCTATAAGTAGACAGCCAGCAGAAGAAACACAAATGGATAATAAATGCAAAAAATGGGCAAACTCACCAGAAATCAAAGTATATAAATTAAAACAAAAGCCAGTTACTTTTTTTCCCTTATCAAACTATCAATTTTTAAATGTTACTACTGTGGGAAAAAGTGAGGGAAATGTATAGCTGATTCATACTTGCGAGAAGTGTAAACAGTACAATTTCTCTGACATGAACTTAAATATGTATAAAAATCCTAGAACAATTCAGGAGTCAGTGTTCAGGAGTTTATCTAAAATCACAATCAAAGATTTGAAAAATGAAAGATGCATATTACAGTATTATTTATAATACAAAATTGTAAACGACCTAAATGTCCAAAAGAGAATTAAATACATTTATCAACACATATATTATGAACTCTGCACCCATTAAAAATTATGCTTTAGAAGATTATTTAATGAATGAAAATATTACATGCTATATTAAGGACAGGTTTAAATGAGGTATATATGTATATCCTGTGGTTTTAATTTTCTAATTAGTTATACATACACACACACACCACGCATTTAAAAATCAACCACAATTTTAATATTATTCTCACTGGGATGAGAAATTGTAGTTTTTTTCTTTTTTATGTTCTTTTGTATTTTCTGGATTTTCTTTAATAAACATGTATTTATCATCGGACAAAAGTGTGCAAAATATTAATATTTTTACATTGAAGGCCTAATTCAAGCAAAAGAAACCATATTCCTAAACAACAAAAAAGTACTCATAATCCTCATACATCGTCTTAGATGAAACACTTATGTACTAACATACTCAAAAATCAAGCTCACCCTTACACCAAAAACAGAGGTACCAACCCTGGTTTTGTCCACATTCAGGACACAATTAAACCTGACCTGCAATCAGCAGTGGGATATGGCAGATGAAGAAAGCTCAGGATGTGGGATTTAACTCACCACCAATCAACAATGAGTGTGATCACGGCACTGAACACAGGCACCTGAGTTCCATGAGAAACCCTAGAGCTAGTGAAAATGAGAAGACCAGGCGGTTGGGAAGCTTCAAGTACAAGATTTATAAATGACCATCTATTGAGCTTATTTGTGTAACAAAAAGGGCAAAAGCTCTCTATTCCACAGTC